GGGAAGATCTGGGGGAGCATGGTATGTAGAGGTATATAGAGACCTAAGACTTGAAGAGAAGAGAGACAATGTGCCCACTCCAGTGACTCAGGAGCAACAAGTTTCTCAATACCTGTTGATATTGTATGACTAATACAACACCTGTTGTTAGCTCTTCGAAGAAGATGAATAATGTAAACAATGATCTTATGATACAGGAGCCTGTAAAATCAATTGCCTCTTAACAATGAAGAGCAACAACAGCCCCATATGAAAGTGTCAGTAGCTGAGGCCCCAGAAGGTCTCAAAGAATTATGACTATGAAGTCTATGTTAGTGAAGAAATTCAAATGTAGGATGATCCCACCTCATTTGAAGAAGCCATGAGAAACGTTTACTCATTTAAATGGCAAGAAGCTATGAAAGTTGAAATAAATTCGATGAATACCAACGATGTTTGGGACTTAGATAAAATTTCTAATAGAGCCAAAACAGTAGGCTATAAATGGGTCTACAAAACAAAATATGACTCCAAAGGGAATGTAGAAAGCTATAAAGCATGACTTGTAGCAAAAGCCTTTACAAAAAGAGGATGAATAGATTACGATGAGAGTTTTCTCTCCAGTCTTATGCAAGGATTCTTTTAGAATCATAATGGTGTTAATGGCACATTACGATTTAGAGTTACATCAGATGGATGTAAAGACGGCATTCCTCAACGGGGATTTGTATCAAAAGTTTATATGGCACAACCCAAAGTTTTTGTCATGGAAGAAAAAGAATATATGGGATGCCGCCTGTAGAAATCTATTTATGGGTTAAAAGTAAGTCTCTAGACAGTAATATTTAAAGTTGATGAAACAATGAGAAAGTTTGGATTTCAAAGAAAATGAGAAGGACAATAGCGTTTATGCGAAGTGCAAGAATGGAAAATTTATTTTTCACATCCTGTGAATAGATGGCATTCTACTCACTAGTAGTGATGTTAATCTATCATTGGAGAAGAAGTATTTGTCCTCAAGTTTCAATAAAAATGATCTTGGTGAAGCCTCATTGGTTCTAGGAATCAAAATTCACCGAGATAGATGAAAATGGGGTAGCAGGACTATCGCAAAGGCATACTTAGAAAAGATTCTAAAGAAATAAAGTATGCATGCGAGTAAACCTACGCCTGCTCCTATAGTCAAGGGTAATAGATTTGAGAACTTTAAGTGTTCCAGGAACCGATATGAGATCGATCAAATGAACATTGTTCCATATGCTTCAGCTGTTGGAAGCTTGATGAGTGTACAAATACAAGTAAGAACTTACCCTGACGTAGTTTACGTATCCGGGATATTTTGGCAGAAGTCCAGCCTAGATATAGTTTACTGGAATAGAGTTGAGAATGTCTTGCAATTTTGTAAAGTATCATAGGCCTCATGCTAAGTTAGAAAGAATAAGTACTCTCAAATAGTTGAGGGTACAAATGTTAAGTCTTGGCGAGATGTGTAGTGAAATCCACAGCAGTAACTAACACTCGCAGTTGGAGTATTATTGTGAAAAAGCTCCAAAAAAACAATTATGGTGTCATCAGTGATGCATACCATAGTATAGCTTGTCATGAGGCTTAAGGAACAGGCAAAAGGTGGTTAAGGGAATTTGTACCCGGATGTAACAATGGTAGACAACAACAATAACCATTTAAAGTAAGTTAACTCCTAAGACAACAGGTCAAGTATGCTGCCAAACACATTGACACTAAGTTATATGTTGTAAAAGAGAAAATCCAGAATCATTTTGAAAGCATTGAGCACATAAGTACCGAGTAAGTACTTACGGATCCGCTTACCAAAGGCTTACCATACAGTGCGTTCAGAGAACACACAGTCGACATGGGTTTACGGGAAAGCCTATGATTTTTAGATACTAAGGGCCTAGTTGAGTATCTGTTTCAAAACAGAGAGGTGCATTGTAGCTGTTTAATCTAATGGCAACAGACCATGACGATGAGGCACGCTCTATGCACTGATCTGTGATGAAATGGAAACAAGATAAAGTAAGTTAAGTTTAAGTCATAAGGTGAGATCAAGGGGAGGGGAATGTTAGGATGATCTCCACCTGTTGGCCCAACGACCGATTAGGCCCTTGATATGTGCCCTAATCGGGGGCGCTCAGCCGGTTCTAAGTGGCTGATGGGCCCCCGTCGCACAGCATTATTAAAAGGACCTTTTGGCTCTCCATCAGGGAAAGGTCAAGAACCCCTCACAATCACCACGATCGAAGCCGGAGACAAGCACCTTCCTCCGCTCGACGATCCTCGCTGCACCAAGTAGTCTAGGTGGCGGCAACCATCAAGAGAAACAAGCGAAATTCACAGCGAAACACAATCACCAAGTGCCTCTAGATGCAATCACTCAAGTAATGCACTTGGATTTACTCCCAATCTCACAAAGATGATGGAGATGAGTGAGAGGGCTTTGGCTAAGCTCACAAGGTTGCTATGTCAGTGCAAATGGCCAAGAGAGTGAGTTAGAGCCAGCCAAACACCTTATATAGGCGTTCCCTCGAAATAGAGTCGTTAGCTCTCTGTCAGCACCTTTCTTGGGCGACCGGACGCACATCCACCAGCGTCCGGTCGCTGGATGTCGTCCACGTGTCCCCCGCTTCAAACCACGTTCGTCAATCTCCAACGGTCGATTCCAGCCACGTCAACGAGAAAAGTGATGACCGGACGCGCCGAACACAGGATCGGACACGCCGGTGCCAGCCCTGCCCGCGCCCGTGCCACCAAGCACTGACCGGACGCACTACTCCCAGCAGCTTCCCAGCGTCAGGTCACTTCCAGTAAGCATCCAGAGAGGAAAATCCGTGACTGGACGCGTCCGTTCATAGGCGGCAGGACGCAACCCCAAGTCCGGTCCTCTCTGGCTCGCGAAGATGCACACATCAGCATACGTCACCTGTGACCGGACGTAGGCCCTATGCATCCGGTCACAAACACTGTTCAGCGTCCGGTCGTTCACAGAGACAACACCTCCACTACTCAACACTGACCGGATGCAGGCACAGAGTCTGGTCGCTGCGAGAGCAGCGTCCGGTCACTGAAAAACAGTGCCTCCACTTCACCAACTTCTCCACCCTTGCTCAAATGTGCCAACCACCAAGTGTATCACCTTGTGCACGTGTGTTAGCATATTTTCACAAAAAATTTCAAGGGTGTTAGCACTCACTAGAATCTAAATGCATATGCAATAAGTTAGAACATCTAATGTCACTTTGATAACCGCATTTCACGACGAGTTTCACCTCTCTTAATAGTACAGCTATATATTCTAAATGTGATCACACCCACTAGGTGTCTTGATCACCAAAACCAAATGGCCCTATGAATTTCATCTATGCCTTAGAACCTATTTTATTTTTCTCTTTCTTCTTTTCCAAGCCCGAATACTTGATCATAACCATGGCCATCACACCATCATCATGATCTTCACCAATTGCTCAATTACTTGGAATGTGCTACCTATCTCATGATCACTAGAACAATAGATTAGCACTTAGGGTTTCATCAATTCATCAAAACCAAACTAGAGCTTTCAATAGGGGCAAACAAGAAAAAAATGGTATCCAAAGCACCATGAACTTGAAACAAATAACAAAAGTGTAGTTTTGTGAATCTAATGTTGGTATTTATTTGACGCAAATTCTGGTCAACACATAGAACCTAGGGTGCGGAACATAAATATTTTTAAGTGAACCTCATCAAATATTTTTTGACTCTTAATCGTATTGTCATTCAATCCACCGAAAACTCACGTAGAACCTAAAATACACTTTCGAAGTTGTTTGTGTCAATCATGATATTGGAGAAAACTACATATATACTCCCTCCGTCCTAGAATCTATAGCATAACATAAATTGTAAGGCGCATTAAGAGCTAATACAAAAGACACATGTACCATCACTTCATTTCCTAATCGATTTAATTCACGTATTGGATATTACATTTGTAGTAGTTTTTATGACTACAAAAATGATCGTGGGATATTACATGCTATTACAAATATAACTGTATTAAGTTTGTATTTTAATAGTTGGGCAAATTATTATCAGTCAAAAATTGTAATCCTTGAACCTTGATAGGCTTGCTAATAGACCTAGGCCAGCCAATAATTATTTCATTAGCTAGTGGAAGGGCTAACAGGTGCCAATAATCCTTTGTACCTCCAACCAACTATCCAACAACATATCAATCAGCCCCGCTAATAATTAGGGCTTCATCTCAATGTTCTTATTAGTAATGCCAATGTTCTTATTAGTAATGCATACATGGATAATGGATAATGGATTATGCCACAGAAGCAGAATGACATGCCATAGCTCTGAGTTTGAGAAGAGCTTTAACTATCCGTATAAGTTTGTAAACTCTTCATATAAGCCCTTGTATAGTTCGTGAAATTTAGATTTTGGAGCTACTGTAGCACCTTCGTTTTTATTTGGTAAATAGTGTTCAAACATGGACTAATTAGGCTCAAAACGTTCGTCTCTCAATTTCCCACCAAACTGTGCAATTAGTTTTTCTTTTCGTCTACATTTAATGCTCCATACACGGACCGCAAACATTCGATGTGACAGGTACTGTAGCAACTTTTTGGAAATTGGAGTGGAACTAAACAAGGCGTAAGTGTGATGGACAGCATGGTAGACTACTCACTGAGCAAGCCAGTAAACTCTGACATCAAAGGTAACTTCCAATTTGAAGCAAAAACTTTTTGAATTCAAAATTTATGTCAATCATTGCGGCAACTCGCAAATGCAGCAAGACATGACATACAGAATATAGCAGTGGTGCTATTTGACCACAAGTCCGCAATACATAGCCACATCCAAAGCCCAAACTAAACACAACCCCAACCAGCTCCACAGCTCCACAGTCAACTTACCGGCCACACAAAAACAGCCAAAGCACACGATGAAAGCTAATCCTCAGTAGGCATACATACATGTTAAAAGTCTTGCTGTATTTGTACCTGGTACTGTTAAGTATCAAAGCCAGAGTACACGCCACTCCCCCTCAGGAGCCGCTTCTCCTCCTCAACATAGTTCTTCCCCCTGCTGGCTTGCCCACGGTCCCTCTTCCGCTTCTCCTTCTGTGAGAAGGAAGCATCCTTCTTGTCTTTCTCTAATAATAACTGGTTCGGCGGCGCGTTCTGCAGACCGATAAGCTTCTCTCCTTCGGTCACTGCAGCCCTGGTCCGCTCGCGTTCTTCGTAGGACTCAGGTGCATCTTCTTTGTCATTGCGGTCTTTCCCAGTGGACCAAGACCAGTTAGCTTCCTCTACTGGACGAACTGTCAAGACAGATGGGCCACCATGGTATCCATGCCGGCTCAAAGCACTAAAATCCACACCAGTTTTCTTCTTCTTTGACTTGGCCGCTGTTCATAGAGCTAAAATTAATGTTAAAATAAACTCAACAACAAGATATCATACTCAGAAGTCAGAACAAGCATCATCTGGAATTCGTATCACTGTATTGGTACTTGCTATTTAGCAAATCAAACTGTGTCATGCTTACAACATGGAAACCCCAAAATAGACAGAATAAGAAGACCCAACTCGTAAACGTCTGCTAGTCCAACTTTATGGAAGGAAACACTGGATCTATGTAAGCATGGTACATGGGATCCGAGGCCCAGAGACTAGCTAAGCGCTGGCCAGAGGTGGTCAGCCTATGGACCTCTTCAGTGGCCCAAATTAGGGTCTCAGCTCTGACAGGGTGGATGATAGCATCCAGACGCCGGTGCTCATCATCACTCCCAATCCTTTGCTGATCCCACTTTTTTAGGAGGACATTGGTGAGGTAATGCAAGGGTTGTTCATACAACTGCTTTAGAGATCCAGCGAGTCCCAGCCATGATGTGAATGTGATTACAGAATCACAGTAAGCAGGAACAGGAATGTGCTTCATGTATTGCTGATACATTTCGGCCCTCCTGATCAGAGCACCTGCATGATCCCATTACCGCATTAGAAAGATCATCATTCCCGAGGATCGATGACAGCTCAGTCCATGTCTCAGAGGTGCCCAGTTAAAAAACTAGTTTTTTTTTTCCTCAACGGACATTTATAAATCTAAGAAATTTAATCTTAGTCGTAATAACTGAATTGACGGTTGTAGTTACCAAAAAAAAGTTGCAACAAAAAACACTAAAGCCATATTTTAAAAGCATCTTCCTTATTTGCACAAACTATTCCTTGGAAAAATTCAGGAACAAATTTCCTAAATAAACCAGTTAACCAGATACAGGTATTGGCTGGTAAACCGGCAGCTGCAGCTGAAAGCGAAACTTTGGGGTAAGGTAAGGTGAGCCTGTTTAGTGCCATTGCAATCTGTAAAAAAGAATAGGAAACCTAATCTTTCCCAAAAATCCAAGCTGCTGTATTAATATGCTGACCATCAGTTTGGGAAACTCAAAACTTCAACTATCCAATTAACTCAAGGACAAGACTACATATAAGCTGACAACTTTCCATGGAAAACAAGTCAATACATCAGAGTTCACTCAATCACATGAAGACCACCATGTTCAAAGAGAGCTCTGGTTATGGTGATTACGTTGCTTAAGTAGCTTTCTTCATTTTTTAAGCAAAACTTGTTCAGCCTATTTTTCAGTTGCAAACCAACTTTTGTAAGGCAAATAAATATCAACTAAGCAAGTCTCTCCAGTAACTAGCTTTTTATTATTCCCTCTACATTCAATTTGATCTGAGAAGACCACAGTCCTAGACCAATAAGCAGTAGTCTTCATACAGGGTTTCCAAACAGTAGTGTTCATGTATTGATGCAAATATAAGTCTTATGACCTACGCTGCATCGTTGAGAAGGTGAAACCTGGAGACTAGCCTACTCAAAAATCAGGTGTCAACTTAGGTCCAATCCACAATACACAGAACTTCAACAGTCACAGTACATCATCAATCAGCCATATCAATTCGTCGCCTAGTCCTATCCACAAGTGAAACACACAAAAGCGAAGTCATTCACGAATCAAAAGATCTCACCTTCTGCCACCGAAGAAGCATTGGAGGAATTGGGCAGCCCAAAGGCACTCCAACCATTCCCCTTCCCAGCACCGTCGTCAGAATCCGAGCTCAAGTCATCATCGGAAGATACGTCATGGGATTCCTTATGTAGCACCACCCTCTTCGTATCTTATAATCAGAAACAAGGTCAGCGCCACTCCATTAGGAGACGATCTTCATAGATGGTTAAAAGGTAACCTTTATATATTAGTTTGTTAATATTAAACCTATGGCAGTATGGCCTATGTTGCATCTATGGAAAGGTGAAAACTGAACAATAAGAACTACGTGACCACACTCATAATTGGGCAATCAATCATCTCAGGGCCAATGGAGACTAAATAAAGGTTTCAACAGTCACAGTGAACCAGCAATCAACCATACGAAGGCATCAGCCTATCCGCGAGTGAAACACCCATATGCATGAGATTAGCGGATCTAGAGTCAGCAAACAACAGGAGAGCTCTCACCTTCTCCCGCAGCAGCAGCAGAAGCTTTGGAGGCGCTCCCGCCCTTCTCCTTCCCGCCTAATTGGTCGGAATCCGAGCCCGAGGAGTTGCCGGAAGACACGTCGAGTGGCTCCACCGACGGCGCCGCCCTCTTCATATCTGATACCCGCAAACGCGGTCAGCGCCACTCAATCCGAAGTCCGCAGAGAACGCAGAGGAGCAGGGGGTTTGGGGACTCACTTATATGGGAGCGGAGAAACCTCGCCGGATGGGGGTGAGGTTGAGGACAAGGCGGAGGACGCGGTGGCCGGTGGGTGGTTGCCGGCGCTGTAAACGCCGAGAGTAGCTCGAGTTTCGAAACCCTCGGACGGCTTGGAGGCGTGGCGTTTTGGCCTTGTGGAGGAGAGTAGAGACTGACTGATTATATTCTTGGGCTCGGTAGACGACTTTGGCCCATATGGATCGATTGTCTTTCGATAATGCTCGAGCACGGGCCCAGTCCGCCTCGCTGCTCCCGCCCGCGTTGCTCGCTCACACCCGCGACGAGCGCCCCGCATGCGACATGGGCTCCCTCTTGTCGCCCGCCCCACTCGTGGTGCGCCCCGCTGACGCGGATTCGCTGCCTCCACCGCGCCCCGTGCTTGGAATCGCGTCTCCCGCCCGGACTAGCGCCGCCCTTGAGGCTGCGTGCGTCATCCGCTTGCTGCGACCACTGCCGAGGCCCGTGCCTCGCGCGTCGGACTAGTGCCGCCCTCCGCGTCACTCCGTAGCATCGAACTCCGCGCCGACATCGAGCTCCGCGTCGACGAGCCTTTTGCAACCATATGTTTCACGCATTTCAGATATATGTTTCATGTGTTACATCTGTATGTTTCATGTGTTTCATTTGGATGTTTCATGTGTTTCATCTGGATGTTACAAAATGATCTGTTGTTGCATATGTTGCAATAACTATACACGTATGTTTCAAGTGTATGTTCCACATGTTTCAACTGTTTCATACGTATGCTGCAAATGTATATTCCATATGTTTCAGCTGTTTCAGACGCATGTTACAAGCGTTTCATCTCGATGTTGCAGTGACTATACAGATATGTTTCAAGAGTATACTGCATATGTTGCAATAGTCGGACGGATGTTGTAGACGAGATGAGACATTAGGACAAGGAAGGGCACAGCGGGGGATGGCACTGCGGCGAGGGGAGGAGCGTGGCACAACGGGGGGAGGAGCGCGGCGGGCTTGACGCGGGGGCACAGCCGCAGTGGGTTTGAGGCGCAGGATGGGGCGTGTGGACGGACGCAGTCGCTAGCGTGAGTTGGGTCGCGGGCTGCCAAACGCAATCGCTGGCGCAGGATCTGTGCGAGCGCGAAGGCGTTTGATATGCCGTGGGTGTAGGCGTCATAGCTGCCTCCGGGAGTTAGCCCCGCCCATTGTCTTTAGGGGGTAGAAAGCTGTTAATTTGGTTCATACATGGTCTGCATATGAGGGTCATTTTGGACTTTGAAGGGATGGCATCTCCCAGCTACAGTTTTCAGTATTCGACGACTTGCATCTTGCGGAAGGAAAAAACAAGATGCTCCTTTACCAATACGGTTTTCATCTGATTAAAAGAAAAAACGGTTTTCATCAGTACGGTTTTATCAGTACGCAGTTACTAGTTCAATTTACTTTTTAAAGATGAAATGGTCAAAATGCCCCTGCCTAGTGTTTTTTACTGGTTTTCATAAAGGCAAAATAGGAAAGTGTTTTTGATACGTAAATTGCCAAGTATTTTCTAACAAATAAAGTGGTAAAAAGTGTCAAGTATTTGAAACTAAATCTTAGTATATTAGGTATGAGATGCTATTGGGTTTCTTTTTAAAAGATAGCATCTCAAGTTTAGTGTTCAAACTAAAAAGTGTATAGTGTATCAAATAATGCCCTCAAAAAGAAAGATCAAGCATATCCATGAATTGGATAAATTAATCCTTTTATTGAAATTTTATTCATGCATTTCATATGGAACGCAAGTATCTCAGCTGCCAAAATCCACTGCCGATGGATCACCACAAGATTCAAGAACGCAATGTCAGCGGATCATTTGCTCCATTCCAGTTGCATATGTGCCGTTCCTCCGATGCCATCAGACTTTGGGCACGGCGGCGAGGGAGGCCTCAGCTTCTCCGCCGGGTGCGAGAGATCGACCATGTCGCCCCTCAGGTACTTCTCGTACGCAGCGAGGTCGAAGTGGCCGTGGCCGCACATGGCCATCAGGATGACCTTCTCCTCCCCGGTCCGCTTGCACTCCAGCGCCTCCCTGATCGCCGCCGCGATCGCGTGCGCCGGCTCCGGCGCCGGGATGATGCCCTCCGTCCTGGCGAATTGCAAGGCAGCTGCTCCACAGTTCATCAACAAATAAGTGACGCCAATGTCATGGTGTTGTTCTTCTTTCATCCATTTCCTTGTTGAAATAAGTCTCATTGTCATTGACGAAAGGTAGAGTAAGTAGGATACCTTGGAAGCATTCAGTCTGCTGTATAGCGATGGCATCCATGAAGCCCAGCTCGTAGACATGCGAGATCAGAGGTGCCATTCCATGGTAGCGAAGCCCACCTGCGAATTGAAGTGCTTCACCTCGATCAGCAAGAAGAAGAAGAAGAACAAACAGCAGACAGAGTAATCGAGGAGGCAAGAAAGCGTGTGAAGAAAAGAAACCTGCATGGATCGGGTCAGGGATGAAGCCGTGGCCGAGGGTGTGCATCTTCATCAGCGGCGTGAGCCCGGCCGTGTCGCCGAAGTCGTAGGCGTAGACGCCCTTGGTGAGCGTGGGGCACGCCGCGGGCTCCACGGCCCTGAACGCGGGGCTCATGTTGCCGCGCAGCTTCTCGCGCAAGAACGGGAACGCGAGCCCGCCGAAGTTGGACCCGCCGCCGGTGCAGCCGATGACGACGTCGGGCGTCTCGCCGAGCGCCGCCATCTGCTCCAGGCACTCCTCCCCGATGACGGTCTGGTGGAGCAGGACGTGGTTGAGCACGCTGCCCAGGCAGTACTTGGTGTCGGCGTTGGTGGCCGCCACCTCCACCGCCTCGGAGATGGCGATCCCGAGGCTGCCGGGGCTGGACGGGTCCGCCTCCAGGATCTTCTTGCCGGCCTCCGTCGCCGTCGACGGCGACGGGTGCACCTTTGGCGCCCCACGTCTCCATCATCAGCCTCCGGTACGGCTTCTGGTCGAACGACGCGCGCACTTGCCACACCTGCATTCGTCAGTAGCGCCGGCGCCACCATCGCAAAATTCAGCAATGAACCGAATGTTGCTCGCGCAATCAATCGATCACGAACAGAGGAGAGGAGTGGCCACGCGATCTCGCGGCGAGAAAGAAATGCGCGCTCACCTCGCAGTTGAGGCCGAAGAGGCTGCTGGCGAAGGACAGCGCGCTGCCCCACTGGCCGGCGCCGGTCTCGGTGACCACGTTCTTCACCCCTGCCGCGGCGTTGTACCACGCCTGCGGCACGGCGGTGTTGGGCTTGTGCGACCCCGCCGGGCTGGTCCCCTCGTACTTGTAGTAGATCTTCGCCGGCGTGCCGAGCAGCTTCTCCAGCCTCCTGGCCCTGAACGTTGCCAGCATTGTTTTCACTCACTCCATACTCTGAAAGTCTGAATCTCTGATCGCAACAGCAGCTATTGATCGACACAGAAAAAAAAAGTCATGAAATACCTGATCAGAGGCGTCGGGCGCCAGAGCTTGTACACGTCGATGACCTCCTCGGGTATGTCAACGAAGCGCTCGTCGGTGACCTCCTGCCTGATCAGCTCGTCGGGGAACAGAGGGGAGAGGTCGCTGGGATTCAGAGGCTGGTGCGTCTGCGGGTGCAGCGGTGGCGGTGGCTTCACCGGCAGGTCGGCGATGAGGTTGTACCATTGCTTCGGGATGCTCACCTTGGCGCCCGGATTCGAGCTGGCCCTAGCGGTGAATCTCAAGCTTCTCCTGCTGGCACTGGCAGCCACTCGGTGTCGGTGCTTCGGTGTGCACAGCAGTGAAGCTCTCTGCTCTGGCCCTGCTGCTGCGTAAGAATGTATGTCATCGCTCATCAGGTCGGTGTTTGCACTGTCATCCACCAAGATTAACAAGATTTAACGAAACTAGTCATCAGTAGTACCAACTATTTTTTCCAATGTCGATAAAAGCTCTAGTCTATCCTTGTAGTTTTTTAGAATTGTAAGGACAAATCCCTGGTCCATAATGTGTTGCAAAACAAGGCTAAGAATACTAAGTGTTTACACAACTCGGCCTCGCTTTGCTAGTAGCACTGAAGTATTCCTTAACCCTCCTTGTAAGATCATCTCGAGTAATTGCAAATCAAATGTTGTATGGCAACAAATCTGAATTGTTAGATTATAATAATCAGCTAAAATAATTTAATGGTGATCAAAACATAAAAGATTACTATGTGATAAATTATTACTGTACAATCCAAGCATCAGAATATAGTAATTTTGTAATCCACGTGAGACCTACTGATTGGAGTTTTATTTTTGCAAATACTGATAGGAGATTATGAACTCTAAAAAAAAACAACTTGCCCCTCCATCCTTGGCACCACAAGAAAAAGCTGCAGTATGCAAGGGCAACTAATGTAGTTCAAGAATCCAAACAGTTTATAGTGTCATAATCCATAATCTAGATTGTTATAATTATATTGTAATCTAGATTGGAATCCAAACATGTCTACGCCTGGTCTCAAATCAGACTAGTGATGGTAATGCCCTTTCACAGCCAATTCAACCATTTAACCATTTTGAGGCCTGTTTGGTAGGACTCCTCTCTGCTTCGGATCCTCCCCAAATTTGAACCGTCCTTTATGCAATCATGGATGCAACCATGGAATGGTTCCTGTTATCCGATACTCCCCAACTATATATCTGAAGAAACAGACACGGTACTAAAAATAATAATAATAATAATATTCAGATGCGTTGAACAACTAGATATTATATATTGCTACTGGATGCTGGGATGGGGAGTGGCCAACAAACAGCATCAAAAGTTCAAAACGATAACATAGTATACTCCTGGAGATTTGTGTTGGCAGAAAGAAAGCTAAAAAATTTGCAAGGGCGGCACAAGTTTGCCCAAGCTGAACCTGACCGAGCCAGGTAGAGAAGAAGAGGTTCTTGCTCCCACCTATCCAAAAAAGAAAGACGAAGCAAGAAGTACCTGGGAAGGTTAATGAGGTCGACGAGCTACTATCCAAGGTCATCAATAAAACTAGCCAGGATCGGAGTGACGGCGTCGGAGAAACAAAGCAAACGAATCGGCGGGAGGATGGTGAAGCGGGTGTGTGTATCCATGGGCGCACCTTGGGAGACAGCAGGACGAAGGGTGGAGGCTGAGGCTGCGGCGGCGGCGGCCATTCTCGACTCCTGGAGCTGTGACTGCCTGCCTGCTGGGAGAAGGTGTTAGTTCAGCTGCTGGTCTGATGCTCGCGTTTCGAAACACAGTGGAGAGATGCACACGTCTCTGTGTCGAAAGGGATGGAGTGCGGCCGTCGTCGGTTGGGCGTTGAATTTTTACGCTCACGATGGAGTATGGATCACGGTCATTGGATGATGCATGCCACGTGACGTCGAAGAAGGTTCAAGCAGGCCACACGTGACCTGGCTTCCTTTCTTTTTTTTTTTTTTTTTTTTTTTTTTGCATTGTCCACAAATTTTAGCTCTCGTTTTCTGTTTTTTTTAGCAACTGTTAGCTCTCGTTTTCTTCTCCGTGTCATCTTGTGGCAGGCTGGCAGCAACAAAGGAGCCAAACACCAGGAATCCGCCATTGCTCTGGACAAGTCAAAACATTAGCTCGCCGGTTTTCTTAACAACTCCCCCCTTCATCAATGGGCCATAGGTTTAGGGGGAAAAGTATGGGCTAACCTGAGCCCAAAGGCCGAGATAAAAATTGCTCCATCCATTTGTTAAAATCCTTGTTATATTGAACCCATGACCGCCCAGCCCAATAGATTGCTCTTCCTGGGTATCGCCCATGTCCCATCGTTTTTTTGTTATTATTTATAGAAATTTCCAGGGGCGGAGCCCGTACACATAGAGGATGTATTAAAATTAAATTAGCAGATCTCTAACCTTCACCTAATCAATCTAACTCCTAGGACAAAAAGAATCACGATAATAACAGAAACAAAGAAGATATGGAAGATAACAGGAAGATCGATCCTAAATAATATAGATGCCATTAGAGATCAATTCGGAGAGAGCAAACAAGGAAAGGACTAACTACAATTAACTAGCTAATTAGAGGGTGTACAGACAATTAGATGTTTAATAAAAAAATATAAATTGCATCATTAACTTGCTGATTGTATAAGATGCTATAGAGAGTCTAATATGGAGAGACAAAAGAGATGGAGAAAAAATAGAATGACTTAATTCTTAATTATATAAGATGCTATTAGAGACTAATATGGAGAAAGGATATGGAAACAAACACAAATAGCATCATCAACTAATTATTAAGTAGCTAACTAAGAATATGCATTATGGGGGGCATAGAAATGATGGAGGGGTGGTTAGCCCCCTTAGTCCGCCTTCCCTCCACCGATGCTCTCTTCAGCTATAGTAAGAGTTTGGGTTCCCCTTTAAACTACAGATTTTGGTACTCCTCCGACTATCTAAACCGTGTAAATAATCTCCGATCCTTTTTCAAAAGTGGTTTTGCTCTAATGAGGCACTGACACTCCACGTGGCATTAACGACTTCCCCTTAGTCGCCAACATCTCCCGTGCCACCACCAAGTGAGAGCTGCTAGCGTCCGACTAGTCGAAGGCAAGTAAGCCTCTGGCCATACATGTTTCTTTGACTATTTTTTTCTTTCCACCAAACTAAGTTGCAAACATATCATGCATACATCATCATATCTCAGGAATTCTAGATACAGGAAAATAAAATTCTAAGTTTAGGTGAATGATATTACATAATATTTATGTCCAGTAGTAGAAAAAAGAAATCTAATAGAGCATCTCATGAATACTATAACAATTCAAATATCTCATTGAACATCCCATGGATATAGTATATAAAAAGCATAAAATACAACATAGAACATCTCATGGATATGTATTGTATGAACAATCAGAAACATATCATGGAACGTCCTATAAATACTATGCGAACATCCTTTTAGTCATTCATCCAAACAATCTTTCAAGAGCATTTATCTAGATTCTAGCTAATACGTATTGCCGACCACTTAGGGCACAACATACACACCTCTATTAGGATCGATGAGCCGACTAGAGGGAGGGGGTGAATAGCTGTTTCTAAAATTTAATCGCAAGTCTTAGTTGAATCAAATATTGAATTAAACTAATGGCCACATAACGACTTCACCCCTTTTACAACAACCTTAGCACCATATGCTTAGGCTAAGCAATGTGGCGACTAGGGTACTAGCAAGAGCTCCTACATAGGTTTAGTTTACAAGCTCAATCAATCTAAGCAACTAGAACAACAAGGCACATAAGAGCTACTACTCATCTTGTGCATTCTTCAATTGCTCTATCTCTTCTAACTGCCTGCGTCTTTCATTTTGTGATTCCTCTACCTTCTTCTTCAAAGTCTCCAACTGATCCTTAAGTTCTTCTTTGTCTTGCTTCCTAGCTGCAACTTCTACTTCAAGTTCTATAACTCGTGCATCATTAATGGCTTTGGAGCTTCTCTTGGGGGATGGTAGCTAAAGGCCGAAATTTTGAAGAAATTTTGATTTCGGCAATAGTTGAGCAACAACTTTAGCAGGGGTCTTTGAAACTTGGCCTTCTTTTGCAGGTGCAGCCTCGATGGATTCCATTGTAGCCTAAGAATATCAACATATGAATGACTTCTGAAATTAATATACCAACTAATGTGCTAGGATCGGAAGTGATATATCTCAATTAAGCTTCCACATTTATATTGTGTACTTAGGTTGTGTGCTTACTATTCTAGTTTAGCTTGCTAGGCTGGTTGATAGGATTGGAACCTAGGTTGCATAACTCTTTTGTGGTAGAGATAACAACACACTTAGCAAAATCTTAGTTGCACATCTAGATATATTACTTTCTTGCATAGGTATTGATAAGTAGAATTAGTGGCCAAGTTTAGAGTAGAAGTTTTTAGAAAACTCAATTCACCCCCACTCTTAGGTGTCACGATCCCTTAGATAGTATGACTATCTATGCTAAACCCGACCAATGCTCTACTCTAAACACCTTAAGCTGGTGAAATGAAATGCCCTACAAGTACCTTTGTCTTGCGCATTTCCATTTCATCTCCATTTTTTTAATGCCCACAAGCATCCACTCTCCATATCATCATCTTCCATATGATAAACAATGGTCAGCATTATGTGTGGCCAACCTTGCCACTCGACTATTGTCCATTGCATGAATAGCTCCTCCATCTTCACTCCATCAAGCCACTTGATATCTTCACATATCACAACTTGGCTTGATATCCATAAAACAATATGGTCCTCTTCATAGCTTCACATGGCTTTCATAGTCCATCGATCGTAGCCTTGCCTGCTCTTCTCCATTGCCTTGGTCCATTGGCACCAATCCTCTACTCACACTTCACTGCCCAATGGTTCATCGTGTCCGGAGCTCTAGCTTGCCCTCCACCCTTGCACACGGTCTATCGAGCCAAGCCTTGCCTTGATCTTCACTAGCTTGCCATATGAGACTATGTCATGTCCCATATTCAATATGCTTCTATCATATATTGATCTTTCATCAGCTCTTCACTAGTTGAGCCTTCACATCACATGCACATGCCATGTATCTCTCCGCACCATGGCATCATGTTGCCCAGTTAGCTTTGTGGACTAATCACTTGTCCATCTCACATGAAACCTTATGAGTCCATCTAAGGTTGTCACTCAATTACCAAAACCAAACTGGGACTTTTAACTTCGCTCTTCGACCAAACCACTAGACATAGGGCGCCTTGCTCAAACCAATATAGATATTTGTGTCATGTGTGATACCCATTGGGAACCCGTGCTTGAAATTAAAATTTACTTAGCTGTGATATGAAATACCGATAAATGGCGCGCTTGGTAGGGGCTTGTAGCTTTTAAATTCATGGATCCCGACCCATGGGTTTCTCCTTCGCAATGCCAGCGGTCTTGCTCCCGACAACTGTATGTCCTTCGACAGCTTGGATTTCGCCACCTTATTGTCTCGCCCCCATCTTTGCCCCATACCAAGCCTTCTGCTTCAAAATCCTAGACTTCTTCGACCGGCTCGGCAAACTCTATCTCAGTGTCACAACCGGCCACGCCCATCTAACAGGATGAGCTTGTCCAACGGATAGAGATTATATAGAGTATTTCCATATGCCAATGACATCTTTGATTCTAGGAGATGAAGAGCAGCCATGCTCGGTCGAGTTAATAACGGTCTGGCTGGTCAAGTTATCATTAGTTCAAATATTGGCCGCTTATTCTAGGAGATTATACAGAGTATTTTATGGACCGGGCTCGGTAACTATGACCAAGCAATCGTTCAAATATTGGTTCTTGTCTCATTTCTCAATTTATTCACATAGTTCATCGAGGAAGAATATATGAACACTAGCTATTGCAACGAGGAGTATTATCAGCAATATGGTACTCATTGAGGCAGACCCTCAACACTAGCTAGTGCAGGTTTAAAAAAACACCAGCTAGTAATAGCGTCAATCTAAGAAACTTATAAAGTATAAACAACACTAATTTCCTCCGATCTGAGTTTATAAATAAATATTGATCATGCTAGAAATTAGAAATCAAGCTCAGTCGGTCCTCACCAGTTCTCACTGTATGCTGCCGCCGTTATCTTGGCGTGAAAACCAGCCCTTAGCCACAACCTCATCACAGGCGGGTTATTTACCCATCTGTAGACAGTTTTGTTCAGTAGCATTAGGCTGTTAGCGTCTTAGCCCCTCTGTCGTAGAGGTTGCGTTGCACAGTGGCCGCCGTGACTTATGGATCGTTACGTCACTGTCGTGATTGAGACGTGGCCGTACGTGGTGAGGGCATCGTTAGATGCCTGCTACAATATGCGGCAGCGGCGCCCGTAGTAGGGGACTGCCGGGCATCAGCATCGTTACATCATGATCTATGAGTCGTGGCCGACACTATGTGAAAAATGGTTTGCAGCAATAGGAGAAATTCTTTGTAGGGGCGGCTGGTGATGGAGCCACCCCTACAGTGACATGCTCGGGAGCCACGAGATCAGTCGCCCCTACAAATGAAACAACAAGGGCGGCTGGTGATACGAGCCGCCCCCTACAAATGGGTCAGATTTGTAGGGGCAGCTCACTCACCAGCCGCCCCCGGTGTTGCTATTTGTAGGGGCGGCTGGTGATTGAGCCGCCCCTACAAATGCCCCACG